CCCTCAGCTGAGCCCAGCAGTGGGTGCAGATCAGAAAACAGAAGCTCACTTGGTACTCACAGGGGTGAGTTGCCAGCGGTGGCCAGCAGGGGTCACTGCAGGGGAGGCCTGAGACAGAGAACAGACACTTAGCCTGACCTGTGGATATGAAGGAGTCCCAGAAGAGAGAGGGCATGCAGGCAGAGGCGGGACTTAATACACTGAATAAAACAGGTTGTTATTAGATGCCATCGAATTGGTACCAACCAATAGCACAGCAAAATGAAACACTGCCCGGATCCCGGGCCAATCTCACTACCCCGTTGCCACGCTTGAGTCCATTGATGCTGCCACTTAGCTAATCCATCTCGTTTGGGGGGGGGCGGGGTCCTTCTTCTTTTTCTCAGACCCTCACCAAAGAAAACGGAAAGGAGGCATGATTTTTCTTCCCGAGCTAGTTTGATGGGACATGGTGGTTCTAGAGTTGTCAAAAAGGATTAGGTCAGTCTGTGTAGAGGGATCAGATCTTACATTTGAGACTGCATTGGGCATTTTCTTCTAGTTTGTTGTTGTTACATGCCATGGAGTCATACCCGACTCATAGTGACCCTGTACAGGGTTTCTGAGGCTGTAAATCTTTACGGGAGCAGAATGCCTCATCTTTCTCTTGCGGAACAGTTGGTAGTTTCGAACCGCTGATCTTGCGCTTTGCAGCCCGATTCGTAACCACTACGCTACCAGAGTGCCGTCAATTCCAACTTAGAGACCCTGTATAGGGTTTCTGTGGAGCAGCTGGTGAGCTTGAACTGCCAATCTTGCAGTTCAAACTGACTTTGCAACTGAAGCCCATTATTCTGCAGTGCCACATAAGGAGGATACAACACTGGCCTGAGACAAGGTAGTGTTTGAGGTGGACGTGCCCTAATCCCTTAGGAAAGGCAGTAGCAGGTCCCCACAAGGTCTAGTTCCAGAAGGTCACTTGCTTAGTGTATACTGAGTCCAATAAAACTGGACCACTTAAGGGGCACTGAGCTTCACCTGAGGGTAACTGAAAACCGCAAAGACACAGTGATGGTGACTGTAGTCTGAACACGTCACTGAATTGTACAAGGTAAAAGCAGCCAAAATGGTCCAGTTTTGGTGTATACATCATTTTCCAGTGCCAGCCAGTGGTTTTCAAGGCTGTGTCCTTTAGGAAGCAAATCACCAGGCCTGTCTTCTGATACACCTCTGAGACTGAGTTCAAAATTGCCAACTCTTTGGCTAGTCACTGAGTGCTTAATCATTTGCACCACCCAGATTATGTTATTGTTAGGTGCCAATGAGTCGGCTCCTAACATAAGTGATCCTATGACAACAGAATGAAACTGTCCTGTGCCATCCTCACAGTGCAGCCACTGTATCAATCCACCTTGTTGGGGCATCTTCCTCTTTTTCACTGACCTGCTACTTTCCTTCCGATACCATGCCCAAAGTACGAGATGAAATCTTGCCAACCTCCTTTCCAAGGAGCAATCTGGTTGCGCATCTTCCAAAATAGGTTTGTTCTGGTAATCCACTGTACTTTCAATATTCTTTACCCACAATTCAAACGCATCAGTTCTTTGGCCTTATTCACTGTACAGCTTTCACATGCATATGAAGTAACTGAAGAAACCATAGCCTGAGTCAGGCACACCTTAGTCCTCAAAGTTACATCTTCACTCCTTAATACTTTAAAGGTCTTTTGCAGCAGATCTGATCAATGCCATATTGCTTGATTTATTGACTGGTAAGGAGCTCTGGTAGCGTAGTGGTTACGAATCGGGCTGCGAACCTAAAGGTCAGCGGTTCGAAACTACCAGCCGCTCCGCGGGAGAAAGATGAGGCTTTCTACTCCCGTAAGGATTTACACCCTCGGAAACCCTGTACAGGGTCGCTATGGGTCGGAACCGACTCGACGGCACTTAACAACAACAACAACATAGAGCTCTGGTAGCGTAGTGGTTACAAATCAGGCTGCGAGCCGCAAGGTCAGGAGTTCGAAACTACCAGCTGTTCCGCGGGAGAAAAGATGAGGCTCTCTGCTCCCATAAAGATTTACAGACTCAGAAACCCTGTACAGGGTCGCTATGAGTTGGAACCAACTCCACGGCACGTAACAACAACATAGTGTATATTTAAGGAGCTCTGGCAATGTAGTAGTTATGAGTTGGGCTGCTAATTTCAAGGTCAGCAGTTTAAAACTACTAGTGGTTCCACGAGAGAAAGAAGAGGCTTTCTGCTCCCGTAAAGATTTACAGCGTTGAAAAAGCTATCAGTCAGAACCGACTCCACGGCATATAACCACCACTACCCACCATTTCCTGGTGTGGCGCTGCAGGTTAAAGTGCTGGACTGCAAGGTTTGAACCTCAAGGTTGGCGATTCAAGCTCACCAGCCGCTCCTCGGAAACCCTATACAGGGTCACTGTGGGTCGGAACCCACTTGAGAGAATATAGGGATGCTGAATGTTAAGTGCTAACAACTGCCTTTTTTGGTCTGTGTACAGGTTAACTGTATTGAAATACCCATTCTTAACAATGCTGCCCACAGCTTGTCATAAATCACAAGTAAACATCTTTCTGATATTTTCTACTTTCAGTCAAAACCCATCTGACATCAGTAATGATATCCCTCGTTTCATGTCTTCTGAATCCAGCTTGAAATTCTGGCTGCTCCCTGTTGATATACTGCTGCAACTGTTTTTAAATTATCTTCAGCAAAATGTACCTGCATGTGGTATTAATGATACTGTTTGATAATTTTCATCTTCTGTTGCATCACCTGCTTTTGGAATGGGCACAAGTATGGATCTCTTCCAATGGTTGGACAGGGAGCTGTCTTCCAAATTTCTTGGCATAGATGAGTGAGCATCTCCAGTACTGCACCAGTTTTTTTAAACGTTTGTTGTTTTCTGTCAACTCCTGGAGCCTTTTTTTGCTAATGCTTTCAATGCAGCTTGGACTTCTTCCTTTAATGCCATCATTCTTGATCACAGACTGTCTCCTGAAATGTTGAACAGTAATTCTTTTTGGTACGGTGATTGTGTATTGACTTTTTTTATGCTTCCTGTATCACTCAATATTTTGCCCACAGAATCCTTCGGTATTGGACCTTGAGGCTTGAATTGTTTTCTGTAGTTCTTTTAGCTTGAGAAGTGCTGAGTGTGTGCTTTTGGTTTTAGCTCCAGGTCTTTGCACATTTCATTGTAATACTTGACTTTGTTAGTCTCCAGCTCCCCTTTGAAATTTCCTGAAAACCAGACTGGTCAATCCCAAATAAACCCAGCATGTCTTCTGATGACAAGTGACAGATTCTGAGGCCAGCCCTTTAAATTAGAAAGGCTCTCTCCTTGTCACAGAGCTGGAAGCAGGAAAACGTAACTCTCTCGGCAGTCAAGGGGCCAGTAGGAGCCCGAGTATCATTGCTCTGTTCACTAGTGGTTGTTCTATCTAGTCTGCTGTTAAGCGCTGTCCACTCGGTTCCGACTCTTAGCGGCCTTGTATCAGGTTTCCGAGGAGCTGCTGGCAGGTTTTAACTACCAACCTTGTGGTTTGTAGTCCAGTGCTGACCCATAGTGCCACACCAGAAGTACAAGCAATGGTTTCTAGCCACCAGAGATTCAGACTCAGTAGCTTTGAGATTGTTAAGTACCGACGAGTATGTTCTGACTTTTGACTTATAGTGACCCTGTATAGGGTTTCCAAGGATCAGCTGGTGCGTTTGAACTGCCAACCTTGTGGTTCACACAAGTGCTAATCCCACAGTGCCACATCAGAACCCTTCTAGGCTAGTGGTAAACAAATGTTTTTTAAATTGTGATTCCAGCCTGAAGTGAGCAAGACTAGCCCCAAATCTGTGAACTTTAGGAAATTAATGCCTTTGGTTTTCCTACACCTCTTAACTCCAATGCCACCTGGCCATGGCGCACCAGGGGTGGCAATAATTACCACGTTAAAGACTCAACTGATGCACTTACCTGGGTCTGTCCTGGGTTCTGCTATGACAGACTTCGGGGTTTTCAGACAGCCTAGAGAACACCTTTTTTTTTTTTTGGCTCCACTCCAGGGCAGAGCTGTGGAACCTTTCCAACCACACTCTGGGCACAAAGTTTTTGTTTTTCAGCTAGAAAAGCACCAGACGGCCCACATCTGAACACTACTTCCTGGAAAGGGGGCTTCTATTGTAGAACCATCACCTGGAAATGTTTCTAGTGAAGTTCCTGGACAACAGGCTTTTCTGAACCCCCGAGGAACACACAGGTTCAAGGAAAAGGACACGAGGATGATTTATTTGGCAGTCAGATCTTAAGAGGGCAGCTGACTAGCAAAAATGGCCAACCCTGGGCCCACACGTGGGCAGTGGGCAAGCATGTGCTGAATGGGGCGATGCTGAGGCACCTTTGCACTCGGAACCCCCTTTCCCAGCTCCAGAGACGCTGCAGTAAGCACAGCACCTCGGTTCAGAGCCTGCCTGCCGGTACCCCCTCCCCACTGCCCGTAAGGCAGGCATCTCCTTGGTCCCTTTTTCATTCCTATGGAAAGAATACTGAGTCTTTACCTTAACTGGAACAGGTTCGGCTGTCTCCTCTCTTCCTCCTTCCTCCCCTGCTCATTACTCCTGACAGGATTTACACCCCAGCGGAGACCCACACGTGCCACAGTGGGCAGCCCACCTTGTCAAGGCTCTGCCCCAAGGTTTCCCTGGGACCAGAGTAGGAGCAGTAAATAACTTATTATGGATGCCACCGAGAAGAAAATAATACTGCTATTTTTAACATGATCCCCTGTATCTTCAGGCTGGGTCCGCATTCCCGGCCATGGGCAGTGTGCCCTTGTGCTGTGTCCTCTCTGCGGCAGGTCCTGTCCCTCCGCCCTGGCTCCAGGGCCAAACTGGGGGCCTCTGCCCACTCACTCTGCCCAGCTGTGGTTTTAAAGCTACAGGACAATGTAAACTGTTTCCCCAGCCCAGCGAAGTGGCTCCTCCCTCTCCTCCTCTTCCCTGTGCCACTGGTTGAGGCAGCTTCTCCCCGAGGAATGGCCATGGGCCTGGCCCCACAAGACAAAAGGATCCACCTTCAGAAGTCAGGGCCAGATGTGTGCTTAAATGTGAGACACCAGACAGTTTTTGCCTTCACTTAAGAGCTGTGGCGTGGAGGCCCCAAACAGTAACACATCTCATTAATGGCTTGGTTTTGGTCTCAAGTCCATGGCTGGATTACAAACTCCAGGCTGTGAGACAGGAAGGCTGCCAGGGAGGCCACTCCCCAAGACACCAGTTCAGGGTATTCCATGAGGCACGCAGCGCCGGCTGCTCCCCAAGAGGCTGGGCTAGAGGCGGTTGTCTCCATTGACCCGAGTCCTCCGTGGGGCCCTGGAGGGAGCAAAAGAGAAGCCTGGCTGGCATCAGGACCCTGGCCTCAGGGGACAGCCAAAGCCACACACCATTGAGTTTTCCAGAGCAGACCTAGCCACCACCTTCCCACCTCTCTTGTACCCATCTACCTCACCTCCGTTCACGACCATCAAAATGGTCTGCAAGATGCTCCTGGGAGACACGGAAATCCTCAAAGGGCTGCTGGTAGCGGGCCTCAAAGGAGCCTTCTCGAGTTCGGCCATGGAACAGCTGGCCTGAGGTGTCTGAGCCCCGCTCCCGCAGGGACGTACCACAGAAGGGGCTGATGTCTCCATTTTCCTGCTTCAAGAAGGGCAGGGCAATGCTGACTCCCAGTACCTAGGCTGGGTCCAGCTCTGCTCCCACCCCACGCCACTGCCATTACCTTGACCGGGAAGATGTCCATCTTGATGAGCAGTGAGGCCAACTCCAGGTCCTCACTGTAGTTGTTCTTCAAAGGCACAGCTCTGTATCCTGGAGGAAGGAGACCTTGGCCTTCAGCCCAGGAGAGACCCAGCAGCCTACCCTGGCAGCAAGCACAGAGGGTACCGTCCCCGGGGAGGGTGCCTCACCTGTCTTTAGGCCCTTCACAGGAAAAGTAGCTTGAGCCAAGAAGTTCTGGTCACTGAACATGTCTTCCTCATACACCACAAAACGCAAGAAAGCAAACTCAGGGTTGCTGATCTGGAAGTGGAAGGGTTTGGCCGGCCACACAGGGTTCAGTCCGTTGTCCACTGCAAAAGCCAGGACAGAAGGCTCAGGCTGCTTAAGGGAAGGACAGTCACCCGTGGGGAGGGGATCAAGGACCACAGCAAGGAGGGCAGACGCACCCACAAATTCGGTCTTCTGTTTGGTGTTGTCATACTCAGCTCCAGCCACTTCAATCTCTACAAAAGGACACACAATGCCTCGGCCATTCTTGGGCAGATGTCGGGCCCCCAGCACCTGTGTGGGCAAAGATGGCCCTTGTAGCTCCCTCCACACTCAGCACAGGACGCTTGCCAGTAGAGGGAGTGTGCCCATACTGGGCTTTACATGGTCAGTTCCGGTCTGCTGGAAGCAGTGTTTCCTTTAGCCAACATTTTCATGTGAGTCTGGCACCCCAGTTCACGGTAAATATCTACTTTCATATGATCTTGCTTGCCATCGAGCCAGTTTCAACTCATAGTGACCCTATATAGGGTTTCCAGTGAGTAGCTGGTGGGTTTGAACTACGAACCTTATGGTTACCAGTCCAGTGTTTATCCCTCAATACTATACACCGACTCCCTGTTTTAATATAGACCCTTGACCTGGGGGAGTTCTCCTCACAGACACTGTCAGTACCTCACCCTCATGTCCTCCCTATGCCAGGTGCACCCGACAGCACAGGCTGTCAGTCACAGTTTTCCACCCGAGGGGCATGTTAGGGGTTCAAGGATGGGAGTGCTTCAGACCAGTGAGCATCCTGATGGGCAGTCTCTGGTCAAGTCCCTCACCTCCACTGGTTGGCCTGACCCCACTGTGCTGAAAGCTAGCCCACCAGGGGAGGCCAAGAGCTGTCCCTTCCTCAAGCTCAGGAGCCCCATACACGACAGAGAAAAGGCCGGGTACAGTGGGCTCTGCTCCCCACCCTGAAAGCAGCCCCAATCTGAGCAAAAACCCTCCCCGGAGGCCAGACCCAACAGCACCCACCTCGATACAGATGGCGCATGGCTCCAGCCCTCGGAGGCTGTTCTTGTCAAAGGGATCAAAAGCGTCATCCCGCATGGTACCTGGCTGCAGCACATAGCCACAGTGCCCACCAGCCATGAAGAGTGCCTGGTTCATCTGCATGGGCTTGTCTGAAAGAGCAGGCTCTGGTGAACTCCAGCCCCGCATCCCTGCCGCCACCGCCTCACAGGCAAGCTTCTCACCTGGAGTCTGGAAGTTGAGGGCCACAAGCTGGCTGCCACAGATCCACATGGGTAGGGGATCATAGTTGGAGGAGTCTAGTCGCTGGCCCTTGGGGTAGATGCGGGAGAGCTGTAGCCGATTGTATTGGAGGAACTTCTTGCCTTTGGTCTTGTTCACATATTTTTCAGCCTTGGTTTCCGGGAAAGACGACATGTCCCTGTAACAGGCACGTTCTGTGCCAATTTCTGGGCCAGACAGGAAGAACACTTAGAGAGCCTGCCCACTTAGCACTGGCCTGTGCTGGGTGTTCCTCCCTCCTGCCCCCACCCCTCGGTGGCACTGAGTCCTTACTCTCTTCATCGAAGGGGACAGGCCGACAGTAGACAACCAGCTCAGAGAGCTCCAGGGCAATCTTCTTCCTCCGCTCCATCATCTTCCCCTCAGTGAGCTGGTGACACACATGATGACACAAAGTCCAAGATTCCTGCCCCGCCCAGGCACTGCCCACTCTGCCGCTGCTCTGGCCCCTCTCCCCGTCTCCCTACCCCAGAAGTGTCTCCTCTTCTCTGCCCTCAAGAACACACTTGCCTTTCAACACTCCTGCCACCATCCATGATGCCTGTGTCACACCTCTCCCCCCACCCCCACCCCCAAGGATGCTGTTACCACTGTCACCCAGCCTCCCTTACTGGGGACTCGGTCTTCCCAAAGGCCACCAACATCCTCAAGATGCTCTGCCACCAGCCCGGCCTCCTCAGTCCCCTCCATTCCACCTGCCTGTCTGTCACCTAGACCTGGGGACCCATCCCTTTAGACCTCTAGTCTGCCAGAACCTTGTCCTACCAGGCACATCTCTGACAAACACTCCACACAAATGCACTGATGGGACCAATCACCAGGTAGGGACCTTCACTCCCTGTCTTCTAGGCTCAGTGAAGAGAAGAGGCCTCCATCTTACAGAAGGCCAAGGGGGAACCTCTCCCACCTGCCTGCCAATCTCAACTGCTGGCCTTCAAGCTGGTATCTGAGGCCTGCAGGACAGTGCACTATCCTCTCCTTCACACCTCACTGCCCCAGCAGTGCCACCACAGTGTGTAGCTGCTCCAGCCAGTGGCAGGTCCAGGTCTCCCTTGCCCCAGCACTCACCAGAGGGCTGCTTCCCAGATGCTGAGAGCCTCCTCTGGCTTACCCATGCATTCCTCTCCCTCCTCTATGCCACCTCAGTCTCGCAGCTCTGGACCCACCACTCCTGCTTCCAAGTGAGACTTCTCGACTTATCTTTGGCCTTGTGTGTCCAACTGCCCACTCACATACCCACATGGATGTCCCACAGGGTCTCAAACACCACTCATCCAAAGTGGACCTGCCATGACACACACACACACACACCAAACCACCTGGCCTTCTGAGGCTGGAGAGGCAGCCAACTGCTCTGAGGTGGTGGGTCCACGGGCAGACTCACCCTGGCATCTGCAGTCTGGGCCACTTCTCGGATCTTCTTCACCCAGTCCTGGAGCTCCTCCTGGGAATCGGCTGCAACATCCAGGGACCAGTGTGCCATTGATGCCATGCTGATGGAGAATACGAAGAGCCGGTTGTTCTTGCCCTCCGGTCGGATGGCTGGAGGATGAGAGAGGACAAATGCTGAGTATAGACATCTCAAGCCCAAGGCATCAGCTCGAATACATTCTACCCGAGCGCAGTACGTCCTCACCATCCTCCACACAAGACAGACTACAACTTAGAACCAAGTCACTGTCTGGGGTGGGGTGCAGTGGCTGGTCTGCCTGACGCCATGCCTCTTCTCCAGCCCTTCCCTATCCCACCTCCAGACAGCTCTGCTAATTGGTCCCCCAATGCTAGGTGAGTATACTTGGGGCAGAGCTGGGGTGTCTGGAGTAGGGGCAATGCTCAGATTGGCACACTTAAGGCTCAGCATCAGCTTCCCTGCTAGGGTCACGGAGGAGCCTGGCAGAGCGCTGGGAGGAAGGGAGGGTGGGCACGGCTCACCGATCTGACAAACCGGCACATCCAGGACCCCACGCAGCAAGTCGCCCAGGGGGCTATTCTCGTCCAAGTGCTGTGAAAGCAAAGCCCACCGGGTGGTCAGCATGCCTGTGTGTGCAACCTTATCAATGAACACGCATATGTAGTCATGGCATGCGAGGGCGCTCCGGGACACCGGGATGAGGATATAAGTGAGTACCCTCCTGCCCTGTGCTCTGCTCTCACCTCCCTCTCGGGCTCCAGGGCTGTGGGACTGACCATCTCTTCCACGTAGTTTGATGGAAACCACAACTGCTTCTTCCCACCGTAGTCCCCCCGCCACCTGCGGAAGCCACAGGGTGCTGACCCCCACGCCACAACTCCCACGAGGAGGACATCCTTTGTTGGAGCCCCACCACTATGCCAGAGTGGCTGTGCAAGTGGGGATGGTGCTCCGTGCCTGAAGCCCACCCAAGACCCCTGGAGCTCACCAGCCTCCCTCCTGCTTCTCCACGTTCTGGATGATGGCGCTCTTGGTGAAAGTCAGCTCGTCCTCTCTCTGAGCCTTGTAGTCGAAGAGTGCCTTGACGGTACACTGCACAGGAAGAAGTGCTTGTCAACTCAGACACTCCCTCCCAGCCACCACCTGCCACACTGAACCTCAGCACTGACCCCTGACCCCGAGGGAGCTCTGGGAGAGGCAGGGCCTTTTTCAGGAAAGCTCAGGAGGAACCTCCTAGGAGTCAGGGCTGGCAAACCACGACAGGAGAGTCTGCATGTGCATGGAGTGTCTCCCAGGACCCTGAAAGTGCACCTAGGCTCCCCCCATGCGTCCAGGGCACATGCTCCTACCCCTCAGAAGACAAAAGGAGGTGAGGAGAATGAGTAGCAAGAAACCACATTCCAGCTAGGGTGCTCCGTACCACCCCCAGAGGTCAGGGGGTGCACTCCGGGGAGCACACTTTGAAAGGGTCAGTGCTAGCCCCTGGGACGGGGCTGCGGCCTGTGTTGGCCCCAGCAGCTCTGTGGTCGTCCTCCACCAACCATAATCTCTCTCAACTTTCTAAGACCTCAGAAAACCACAACCACCACTTCTCCACAGAGACCACAGGTGGGTCCAGAGCAGAGAAATACAGGCCCCAAGCAGCTGGGGACCCTCCACAGTTTCCGGTGCCCAGAGGCCACAGATGTACCTTGAAAGTTGGCATTGGGTTTGCCTCCACGTAGAAGCCGGGGTTACGTCCCTCATACAGAGCCCCGTAGTCTGGCTCCTGAAGACAGGACAAAAGGGGAATGTTAATGTCCCAGAGCTGCCAACCTCAGTGGAGATGTGTGCCCAGCAGCCTGGCCTCCCTATCCTCTCTCCATTCTCATCCTTGAAGTGGTTAACTAGCCCCCATCCTCACAGCACCTGCCTCTGCCTCTTAGCATCACCCCAATCCCAGGCTCCAGGGGACAACAGTCCTCTCTACTGGCCACCCAAGTCTGCAGATGACAAGTCTCTCAACCAGCTCCTTGCTCTTTTCTGTCCTCGGCCAGGACCTGGGTTCAGAGTGCCCAGAGCTGCCTGCATGCCTGCTCACCCCCTAGCCCCAGATCAGCTCTACACAGTTCTGACTCTCCAGCCTGTCTCCTTTGCCCAGTCAGGAACACTCTAGTGCAAGCTGGCACATAGAGCCTGCCTGGGTGATAGGCACTTTGGTGCCCTCCATGACACCAACATGTGTGATCCGAGAGCCACAGGACCTCCTCAGACCCCATGACGAGTATCCACCCCCGTCTCTCAGCCTGCCTAGCTAGCTCATGAGCACCCTTGGGGACATGTCACCCTCAAGGACACCTTTCCAGCTCCACACCACACTGACTAACGAGTACCTGACTCTGGACCTACCCAGAGGCTGGCCCAGGACTTTCTGAAGCCATACTAGTCTCCCCTGACTCTGCCCACCAAGTCCCCTCAACACTGCCCAGCTCACAGCTGTGCCAATCTTCTCCAGGGCCTCCTCATTGATGGGATAGCGCAGTTTCATCTTGCGGTACAGAGGGTGTTTCTCGTAATAGCTGATGAGGTCCACAAGACTGTCAAACTCCGAGTTCCCCAACATCACCGTCTGGCCCTCCTGCTGGACGCGGCAATGCTTGATCTTGCCCTCGGCCCTTCAGATAGAACAGTTACCTGGTCAGGGCAGCCCAGACTCAGGCTGCCCCACCCCTACCTCCCACCCTGCAAGGTCACACCCCTTACCGGAAGGAGATGGCGTAGGAGTTGGGTTCATTCCGCTTTCGCACCAGGAAGGCCCCATCCCGGGGGACACGCATTAGCATGTGCTCGGCCTGGGCTCTGGTCAGGCTGGCATGGTACCACCTGAAGACAACCCTGAGTCAGCCCCAGCCAGCCTGCCACCCCTTGGCTGGGCCTGGCCCCTACTCACTCTTTGCTCTCATGAGCATTGGTCTGCGGGACAGGCTCTGAAAGGCGCATCTCAAACTCATTGCAGCGCAGGGGAACCTGCTGGTAGTGTGTGATGAGGTCATAGAGGGAGTCAAAGACGAGATTGTCTGTCAAGAAGAACTTGGGGGTCCCTGCATCCTGCCTGGAGTGGATGCGACAGTGCTGAACTTTCCCATTCCGCCTGAGCAACAACAAAGGAGTCAGTGAGAAGGAGGCCAGAGTCTTGACGACCAGTCCCCCAAGCCTCAGAGGGGAGACAGATCTCAAAGGCGCTCTGGTGTGGGGCAGAGAGTAGGGAGTGGAACGTGAGGGATATGGGTGTTTGTAAGAGAGAGAGACTGAGAGCAAACTGCATTCCACATGAAAGGCTAAAGGTGAGTGAGTTACCAGAAAGACAGCGTGTAGTCGCCCACGAAGGTCTCGCTCTCGCGCACCAGGAAGGAGCCATCAGGTGCCCCGGTCTCAATGCAGTACTCGGTAAGCAAGCGCTCAGCGATGTGCCGCCCGTCACGACCAGCCCCGAGCTTCCCGTGGAACCACTTTTCGCTGGAGTGCAGCTCTGTGCTGCCGCTGGCCTGGGGGTGAGAGGCCACAGCAGCGAGGCTCAGCTGTTACTTTGACCCCAGCCCTGACCCAGCCCACGGGAGCCTGGCCCCTCACCTCCTTGGGCTCCTCCTCATCCTCATTGCCCTGGTCACTAGTGGTCTCCTCAGAGTAGTAGATCTTGCTGCTGGTCAGAACAAAGTAATGAGGATACCATTCCTGGAAGAGACCAAGTAGGGAACTGAGTCAGAGCGCCCTGACCACATTGGTCCACTGTACGCGACGCAGAGCAGCCCTCACATGGTTCACGGGGTCCTCCAGGTAGAGAATGCCATTCTTGATGGAGTTGCTGATGTCGTTCTCAGAGTACATCACAGACGTAGGCACCTCCTCATAGGCACTGCCCTCAGCCAGCTTCTTGTGCTATGGGAGATTTAGGGTATGGCTCAGCCAGTCCCAGCGCTGGAGCCCTGCTCATCTGAGTATACACTGACACTGAAAGGGCTGATGGCAAGTTGGGGCGGCGCCCCCTACCTTGATGAGAATTTTCCTCTTGAGCTGGTTGGGTGAGGGAAGCCCGTCGGCAGAGATGTCCACAGGCTTGGTGAGGAGTGTGTCCCCGAGGACCTTTCTGAAGTGCTGGGCCATGTTCCTTTGCTGGGCAATGCTGCAGTGATCCTCAATGGACAGGATGACCGGGTACCTGTGGGGCAAAGGACCAGTGGGGTGACAAAACAAGGAGCCTGTGATTGTAGGGTCAGGAAAGGCTCAGTCTAAAGAGCCCCTTAAAATTAGGGTGCCAAGGGCCTGGGGCATTGTATCTCTAGGGGAATGATCCAGATGGAGGGTGCAAAGGAAACCCAGGGGTGGGAGTCTGAGTCAGTCTCTTCCTGGAGGCTAAACCAGCAGTGGGAAAAGGAAGAGTGCACAGAAGAGAAGCAGCCTCCAAAGGAAGCACCTGGTGTCCTGGTGAGGTAGGAGACTAGCGGCCACAGGTATGTGATGAACAGGAACTAAGGAATGGGATGCAAGGGCAGGGCTAAGAAGGAGAAGATGGAGTGGTCAACCTATGGCCTAAAGAGACCCGAAGTAAGTCATTTTTGAGGCTGAGAAGGGCTTGAACATGTGCCACAGGCTAAAGAGAAGGACCCATGAAGAATCTGGGCTAAGGATACAGGAACTGGGAGTAACTTGGGAAGCAAAGGCTCAAGCAAGAAGCAGGAGTAGTAGGAACGAGAGGTCAAGAGAAAGGCTGCGCCTGGTGCAGTACAGGGCAGGGCCCTGGGCGTGTGCTGAGTCCCCACACTATGGTACAGGGGTGAGGGAGCTGGAAGCAGTCTGAGTCCCACCCCCACTCACTCTGAGGCCACAAAGGCATGCTCCTTGATGGTGTGCAGGACGTCGGAGAACTTGATCTTAGTGGTGAGGGTGTGTCCATGATAAATGACGGGCATCCCATCCGGGCCGTCCCAGCAGTCCACTGGGGAGCAACAGCACACCATGGTCACACAGCAGCCTTGTCCCCCCTGCCCCCTCATGCACACTCAATGCAGTGGCAGCCCAGCCCCACCTCCCTTAGCCCTAACCCCACGCACACTCAATGCAGCGACAGCCCATCCGCAAGCAGCGAGCATAGGCTTCCAAGGAGGACTCACTGGAGAACTGGTCCCCAGTCAGGTACCTGGAAAGAAGAGAGGCAGGTGTGGTCAGGAGGGTCCCTCCCTCCCCAAGAGTGGGCTGGGTGGGCTCTGTGAGCCCCACTCACGTGTTGTGTGAGGAGGAGATCCAGTAGTGGGAGAGAGGGTTGTTCATGGTGTCTGGACACACTGCATCCAGCTGGGCGTTCCACACACTGTTCTCCTTGGAGAACAGGAAGGTGACAAACTGGCAGGAACAAATATAGAAAAGAAGAGAAACTGAGTCCTGCCCTGCCCACCTGGACAGGGTAAGGTAGGAAGTGTGAGTAGAACAAGATGGCCTCCCTAGCTCCTAGGGCCAGGGGGCTTCTGCTCAGCTGCCCAATTCCCCCTCTGACACAGGGGTGCTGGGGGGGTCTCACCTCATCCAGGAAGAGGGATGGCTCCTCAATCTCCCGCAAGGGGTCTCTTAGGAAGCTGAGCACAAACTCCTGCACACGGAGCTGGTCCACAGCCCACAGCTCCTGGGACGGGATGGGCAGGTTGAGAGGCCTGCAGTCAGGAGGAACCCAGCCGCCCTTGGCCTGCCCCCTGGGCCTGGCCCAGCCATACCCACCCCCTGGTACTCCAGAAGGAACTGCTGGAACTCAGGAAGGGACACTCGGCAGAGCTCCGGCCGCTCCCCAGCCCTACAGGGAGAGAGAAGTGGAGTGTCCTGCAGTCAGCTGGCTAGCAGGATGGGACCAGCAAGGGGCCCTGGGGAGGCAGAACCCAGCTCCCACCAGCACAGTCACCCACAACAGTCCAGCTCAGCCACTGAGGTCAGGAACCACCCCCAGGAGAAATGAAGGGGAACCCAGGGCAGAACTACCCGCTCCCTCTTCAAACCAAACCTCAGGGCGCTGCCTTCCAAGAAGGGGAGGTCCATCTGCAGGAGACAGAAGCTGGTCAGAGAAAGCCTGGAGCCATGTGGGAAAGGGGCTCTCAGGAAGAAAGGTTGGGGCAGCAGATGGGGCAGGCCTTGAGAGAAGCGTGGGAGAATCTGCACCCACTGGCCCCCAAGCAGGCAGCAGGGAGGAGGGCTGATGCAAGCAGGGGTGGGGTAGAAGGAGATGGGAGGTGGCTCATGCACCGTCTTCTGGGCGCTGTACATGAGGCTGCGGTACAGTTGCGCAAACTGCCCGTATGTGATGTCCCCGCTGCGCTGCTCCAGGTCCTGATGGGACAGAGCAGTGTTTCCCGTCAGTCCCACTAGCCAGCCAGTGGCCAGGCCTCTCCGGCCCCCAACCCAGAGTGCTCCTGGGCCCTCACCGTCAGTCGCTCTCGGAGGAAGCGCATGTTGGGGACCCGGTAGTTGACCTGGGACAGCATATTCTTCAGGTCCTTGGCTGATATTCTGAGAAAACAGTGATATCCATGGCTTCCCTGAACCACGGACCTTGGGCTGCGTCCACCAAGAATCCAACTCAGCTGGAGCAGAACATGGGTCCCTCTCCTGTATCAGACCCCTCACTGTTCTGGGTGACCACATCCAGGACAGATGGAGGCAGCCTTCCTAGCAGGGCTCACTTGAAGGTCCCAGGAGGGGCAGCTCAGTAGGGATTCCCCACCTGCTGCCCAATGGGATGTTGGAAATTGGATCTTCAGAACTCGCCCTTCTCAAGCCCCATCAGTACCAGCCCCACAGTTTAGTGTGACAGGAGGTTGGGCACCCTCCTCAGGCTTATACAACTGCTGGTAATTGGCCATGTGGGACCTTAAGGTGCTCAGCGCCAGGGAAGAAGCTCAGTGGGAGCACACCAGGGTGGTCCGCTCAGGGTCTGTGCGAAGGGACACTGCTAGTCCTGGCAGCAGCAGCACAGGAGAGGTGACCAGGCACCAAGAGCCAGCCAGGGACTAGACCCAGAGGCCTTTCCCACTGCTATGTAACGTGGTTGCTACTTCTCCCCCAAGCAAAAAGGACTCTCCCATACCTCTCCCTAGAGCTCCCTCCAGTCCCCCACACTGCTCTCCTCAAACACTGTATCTCTCCATTGTCAACCAGCACACTGACACTGTGGAGGGTATGGTGTGGCATACTCCCTTTTCCACAGGCTTCCAGAACTCTGCACTCTCCTGGCTGATCACCTGGCCAGCCTCTCACCACCCCAGTACCGCCTGGGCCAGCCACAGGACCTCTTCCTGTCCTTGTTACGCTCACTGCAGTTGTCACATCAAGCCCTGTAACTCTGAACACCATCCACAGGCTTCCCATTATCCCACCCACTCAACTTCTCTCTTTCACCCCCCAAATCAGTGTGAGTGAATTCTGCTGGGCTCTACTTCTGAAATACTGCACAGGCAAACGCAATAGCGCCTCTGCTACTATCCACCTCAGTCAGGCCACTTCCACCTGCACCACTGAGACAGCTCCTAGCGGTCCTCGGTCCCACCACTCCTCTCAAACCTCTCCAATGGGTTTCCACCTCCTTCAGAGCCCTTACCTCAATCTACAACCCACAGTGGCCACGTAAGCGGCCCCAAGCTGTAGTCCTCTATGCACGTGGCTCGCTGGGTACACCAGGCCTGCTTCTGCGCACATTCCCTGTTTGGAAAGCTCTCCCCCCTCAGTACTGTCAAGGCTTACCTTCAATCTCCTTTTTGCAATACTCACTCGTGGACAAGACTTTCCCCTTCCTGTCCATTAAAAAATGTAGCCCCGCCCCATAACTCCCAGTCCCCTGCTGCTTTATTTCCCTCCATGGTACTTAACAATCACTCAACATACAAGGGGCTTCAAAAATACACTATTTACCTTTCAATTCCACTTTTTCTGAAATCCCCCTTTTATCAATTTTGCTTGTTTCGTTTCTGTCCTATAACTCCTCCCATTAGAGAATGCATGCTCCATGTGGTCGGGCTTTCTATCTGTGTTTGGTATTAGCACTTAAGGAGGATTTGTAAGTGACTAGACTAAGCACAGAAATACAAAGTCAGAGCTGCAAGAGGTGAAGCCGGGGTCTGCACTGTGGGTCTCCAGCGATTGGCCCTCTGGCTGCCACACCACAGTGTCGTAAATCCTAAGCCATGTACCACAGCACGGCCACAGGCCTTCATCTGCAGGACCCCTGGAGCCAGGGCAGTCCTACCTCATACCTGTCATGCCAGTTCTGTACTTCTTGCTTCTGCCCACAGTAGCAGGGACCAGCCGTTCATAACTGTGAGGATTGCTTCCTGACACAGCTCACTCAGACCTTCCACCCTAGCAAGGCCACTGAAGGTTTCTGCAGAAAGCTCCTTGTGCCAGAACCACCTGCCCCTCCCCATCTCCCTCCCCATCTCCACTCGGAGCAGCGCCGTCATGGGCTCCATGAATACAGCTTCAGGACAGGAGACAGTTGAGAACCTGGGTCTCCCTAGACCTTCAGGTTGTGGACTTAGTTCCTATTCTGGCTGCCCCCAGTCACTCTGCTGAGCTGGAGCTGGAGCTGGATGCCTACCGATCTTCACGATTCCGATCCACTGAGTAAAACTGCTTTCGAAGCCACCTGGAGAGAGAAGTCTGAGGTGAGGGATACTTCTTTAGTTAAGGCCAGGGTCATGGGTCCCTGGGCGGTTCTTACCTCTCAATCTGCAGGGGTGTGGCTGCCTGCAATGTATCCTCCATCAGCCAAGTTAATCCCTTGATCCACATGTTTACTTCATCCTCAGATGTAGCTGTGAGCCAGGGGCAATCAGCTGAGCCGAGGGCCTACCTCCCAGGAACCAGCGGGCAATCCCCTCAAACAAACCGCCCCCCAGCCCCTGGACTCTCACCTTGAAGGCTCAGGGTCTTCAGGCGGAATTCCATGCCATATAGGATGACAAAACAGTGGGACTGGTCTGGCCGGAAAGCAGGGTCCTCTTGATAGCGGTCAAAGTCCCGTGAGGTCTTCCCTGGGCGAATCTCCTTGATCTCACGGATATCAACTGGAAGTAGTGAATGTGTCAAGATGGGGCTGGGGGTGTCCCAGAGAGATCATGACTAGAAGGGAGCACCCTAGTTTCCTCACCTACTCCCATATGCTTCTTCAGTGCAGGTGGGGTTCCCAAAGACAACCCCCAACCCTGGGCAGAGCAGAGAGCTGAGGTTGTAAACATGCTGGGCTGGGCTGGAGACAGACCTTGCTAAGGGCTGAGAAGTCAGAGGGCTGTCTTGGGGTACAGGGAGCTCTACCTATGACACCTCTCCCCAGCTCTGCAAACATAGGCCCACCACTTGGATCTTGAGGAAAGCAGGACTCCAGAGGAAGACAGTCTCCAACTTGGTCTGTGACAACCACTTCCCAACACAAAGAACACACCAAACAAACAACTAGTCCAGGGGCGGGACTTCAGGATCCACTATAAGAATCTGGCTTGGGTTTAGGAAGTGCGGCTCCCTCAAATGGGCACACATATGCCTCACACACAAACACACACATCTCACACACAGACACAAATGTCTCACACACACACAAACATGCCTCACACGCATACATGTCTCTCACAAACACTTCACACACAGACACGCCTCACACAGACACAAGTCTCTCAGACACACACATTTCACACAGACATGTCTTTCACACAGACACACATGCCTCACACACACACTCACACACAGACATGCGTCTTTCTCCACACACGCCCCACACAGACACACAACACGCCTCACACAGACACATCGCTCACACACAGACATGCCTCACAGACACACAGAGACACACGCCTCAATCGTACACACACATCTCTCACACAGAGGCACATGCCTCACACAGACACATCTCTCACAGACAAACATGCCTCACAGACACACAGTTTATACACACACATCTCAGACACACACGTTGCACACAGACACACATCTCAGACACACACGCCTCAGACATGTGCCTCTCACAGAAACACATGCCTCAGACACACGCCTCACAGACACACACAGCTCACACACACACGCCTCACAGACACACAGCTCACCTCACACATACAGACACACACGTCTCACACAAGAGGCCTAAGCCTGGCCCCCTTGAGGCACACACTGACCAAGTGTTGCACCCGTAAGCCTAGCTCACCCTTTCTACCGGGGCCAGCTTCCTATCCCAGCCACCCCACCCCTACCCTCACACGTCGCCTGGACGGGGCTTGCACACCTCCACCACTGATGTGAGGGACTCTTTCAAGCTTCTCGCCAACTCAGTTCTACCATCTGCACAGCACAGTACTTGACTGAACAAAGTCTCTGGAAGGTAGAAAGCGCCTGTGTGGACCCAGCTCCACCTGGCATCTGCTATATGGCCTCGGGGCATTTGAGAAATGGTAACAAACAAGAGCATTGCAAGTCTATGTGGCCACGGCAGGAGAAGTAAATGCTAATTCCCTTCCTCTGCTCAGGCAGAAGTTCTGATCCAGGCCTGGAAAGGATCCTGGCTATACCCCTACTCTGCCCCAGGTACTACCTGGGATCCTGGGTAGAGGGCAGGCATTCCAGTCCAGTTACAAGGGGGCTTCAAAGTTTCATGGGAAAAATTCCATTAGCTTTTCATTGCATTTGTCCACAGATTTTCTGAAGCCTCTCTGCCCCCCTACCCACCCCTTACCTCTGGTAAAGAGATGGCAGACCTAGGGAGGATCAGGGAAAGCGGAAGTCTGGCTTTGTCCACAGAGATGATGATTTCTGAGCACTCTCTCAGGTCTGGAGCCCAGACTGGCCAACCCCACAAAATATACCAACTGGGTATACTGTTTTGAGTAGCCCAATGTCCCGAGCCTTTGCCTTTCTGTCCTGTCCTTGAATCACAGCCACAATTCCCTGGCCCACTTTGAACATGGGGTATCACCTCTGGCTCCAGGCCCAGGTCCCCAGACAGCTAACAGTTAACACCTCTCAGTAAATAGTTACTCTCTTCCCTTATGACCTGATCTCCACAGGAAAGCCCCACCTTTTCTGATGGTTCCTCTGCCTCTCAGTTCTCACCCAGCACTCAACGTTCCTCAGCACCTCAGAATCTCTGTATAACAGTTAGGATCCCATAGACCCCATGAATCCCCTCCAGAAGTTGCCCGCTGCCAACTGAGAGTATGCTCCATTAGAGACCCTTCAAGGTCAGTCATGATGGGGTGCAGTGACTTCTCCCCAGCTTTTTGCCCTCCCACCTTCTCACCTTTACCCAAACTAAGCTGGATCTAGCAAACATAGCCAGTGCTTTTCTGACTCCCCACATTCATTTCTTTCTGGTCCCTAGCCCAGGAAATGTCCACCTCTGTTCTCTCCCAAAAGGTCCAATTCCAAAGGCCCTCTTGCAGCAACCATCTGCTTGACACCTCATTCTTGCCTGGTGCTGACAGAAAAGACTGAATGAATGGAACCAACAAGTGGCAAGAGCAGGCACCCAAAATAGGGAAGGCAGCAGGGTGGATATGGAATAAAGATGTACAGTTAGACTCAGTACAAACATGGAAAGTGGGATCTAGGTCACCAAGACCCCAGCTTGAGACAGTTAAAGTATTTCTAAGGATGGAAAATTTAACTTGGAGATGTTTCCTCCAAGGAGGAGAAAATGCTCACATCAGTCAGTAATTGCAGAACCACCACACACTCTGCCCTTTGAAATAGAAACCAGAATGCTTTTCCGGTGCAGAACTGTGGCAGCCCCCTCCCACACCCTCTTACAGACATGGACACACACATAATGCCACACACACACACACACACACACACACACGCGCGCACGCACACGGTCCAGGCCTGGGTCCTCACTCTCAGCTGCCTACCCACCTTTATAGCGTATCCAGGATGTGGCTACCAACTGGCAAGCAGCTGGAGGTCTAAAGGCAGCTACTAGGTCCTCCGCCACCCCAGTACACTCCAATACATGCAGGTATATATGCTTGTCTGGGTGTGTGTGACTCCCCATCCCATGACCCTAACACACACGGCTGGTACCCCTGGCCTACTCTGTACCCTTGGACAGATTTCTGCAATACCAGCCTGGAGGCAGAATAGGCCCCCACTCCAAGACAGGAACCAGAGAGACATAGAACAACTCAAGGCCAGGTGTCCAGTTCTCCCATGTTCTCAGCTGGTCATACCTAGTCCCTAGTACTTCTTCCTATAGGTGGTACTAGCCTGGCTGGCCCTGATTCCCTCAAACTTCATCAAGCCAGTGACAGGCCCCAAGGTGTAACATTCTACTAGATTTTTGGAAGCCACATCCTGTGCTACTTACCACCAACACAGCAGTCCCCTTTCCTGTAAGATGCCAGTCCCAGGGACCGCTAGCATAGGGAAGTTGCTAGCTCTGGTTGGGGAAGAGATGGCTAAGTTGGAACCTGCAGTGGGTCAGGAAGGGCAAGCAGGGAGAACTCTGCCCCACTAGAAGCACAGGACACCTATGTTCAGGGGAAGAAAGTGAAAGCCAGGGGTGCCAAGGGTCTCTCTGTGCAAAAACGGGAGGCAGGAGGAATAAGGGGGACCTGACAGAAGTTAAGGTCGGGAGACCACAACTGGAGAGCCAGCCCAGCCATAATCCATGATGTGTAGCAGAAGGACAAAGGCCCAATCTGCAGGCTGAGTCTCAGCTCCGTTGGAAGCTACACACAGCCTCTACGAGTAGACAGGCCCTCGCAATGTCATAGGCACCACCATTCTTAGCATGGCTGAGAGACATAGTAACGAATCAGTGGCTTAAGGCACTGAAAGAGATCTGGTCCCTAGCTTTTAATTATCCACAATGCCTCATGAAGGAACTGACTCAGCTCCTGGAGGGACTATGGGATACTGGGGCTTACATCACATCCAGCTCTGAGGGCTGACCATTCTCAGGAGCTAGGCTGCCTGGGGCTTCAGTCCTGAGGCTCGGCTCTGCTCTGCTCCTCCCACTCCTCCAGGAAACCTGCCCTGCCCATGCCCTTCCTGAATACTGCCCAGTGAAGGAGAACCAGGGAGATCTGGATGGAGCCCAAAGCCCTAGAAAGACTTTGCCATCAGAGTATGTTTGTGTAGAAGTCTGTCTGCATGGTACAGGTATACATGGAAAACTACTCCCAAGAGTCTTCAAGACTTGCCCAAGGCCTAAATTTAAGTTTGGGAGTAGGATATGATTTCAGATCTTTTAGTCTCCCATTCCAGGTCCCGGGTTCACGCTGTGGGATCAGCACTGGATTACTAACCACAAGGTTGGCAGTTCAAACCTACCAGCTGCTCCTTGGAACCCCTATACAGGGTTGCTGTGAGTCAGAACCAGCTCGAGAGAACCTACAAGTCTCCCGCCGTTCCAGTAAGAGATGGTGGTGGGGAACACATGACTCAAGACTGTGAGGGTGCTGGTGACCTCTAGGGTGCTGTAGGCTCAGGACGCGTGTGCTCTCCTGTGAACCCACGGACCCCAAGGGTTCCATTCCTCCCACCTAGAGCCCCTGAGGGTCACCTTCACGAGGAGGAGGTCCAACCTCACTTCCCTTCTGTCTGAGTGTGCCCTGGTAGCCTTTCCACCTGTTCTGCCCCTTTCTTCTCTCCTTGCCCGAGGCAACAGAGAACAGAGACTCAGAATGGAGTGTCTGGGTCAGGAGTAGAGCATTTGTCTTTTGGACCTGTTAGTGGTGCGATTTCAAGCAGTCCTTTTCCCTTTAAGAGAGTCACTCTTGTCATCTGTGGTACCTCCTGCAACACAATGCCAAGCACCCTGGGGCCTGTGAAGCTAGAGACCAAGAATAGGTATTGTGGCTGTTCTTTGGGTCAGCTTAGAATGGGGCTCTGCAGGAGAGAGGCCACCACCCTTCAGCCAACACCCAATCTCTTGGGTGGGGAGAGGAGGGGTGCTGATCAGGGGATACACTAAGTGGCAGGCAGCCAGTCTGGAGCCTGGGAAGTGGGGAGAAGACAATGACCACAGAAGGCCAGTCTTTGTGCTTGGCTCCTCTGAAGGTAGGGCTGCTTCCGGTCTCAG